TGCCTGCCTGTAACAAGGGCCCTGATTCTCACAGCTCACAGGTTACATGTTGGACCCCTGTAGTACACTATGTTTGATAAACCTGATGGTACACAGAACCCTACTGATTTTTCTTGCTTTCTCTCAGAAATATATACACATTATCAAAGGAGCCAGATTCATGAACAGAACGGATGGAGAAGTAAGGGTGCTTGTGTTCATGTAGAACAGACTCTCCTTTAATGCTGAAAAGATACATATAGCCAAGAGAAACCAACTGGCTGGTTGCATTCAGACGTTACTGGCCTTGGCCAATGAGCCCCTTCCCCAGGACTGGGACCAGACGGTGGACTTGCCGCAGGTAAGGGGGGGACAGAACCACTCGCCTGGAACGGCCTGCGGTTTTGTTGGGATGTCTTGCCAAGGAAGTAACTTAAGAGCAAGGCTCGGGAAGTTTTCCTCTTCAGAAAAATGAATCTTGTGACAGGCTAGAGCTGAGTAGTGCTAGAGGATGATGCTCTGCAACCAAACATCATTGTGCTGCAGCTGATTTATAAGTGGCTTTGTGGTTGTTATGTGCCGTCAAGTCCCCTCCAACTCACGGCGACCCTATGAATGAGCAGCCTCTCCAAGATCCTGTCCTCAATAGCCCTGCTCAGTTCTTGCAAACTCAAGCCTGTGGCTTCCTTTTTAGAGAGTCAGTCCATCTCATATTGGGTCTTCCTCTTTTCCTGCGATTTTCAAGTTTTCCCAGCATTATTGTCTTTTTCCAGAGAATCCTGCCTTCTCATGATGTGCCCAAAGCAGGGCAGCCTCAGCTTCAATCTTAGGTTCTGTTTTTTAAAGAGAAAGGCAGGATAACATACTTTAATAAATAAACATTTTTACCTTAAGAGATAGTTCAGAGCCGTGATTTGCTCTAGGAAGCACGTGTTCATTTTTCTGACAGCCCCAAGGTATCCTTAAAGCTCTCTTCCAGCACCATATTCTAAATGAATCCAATTTTTTTTGCCTGATTTGAGTGACTTTAAGATTCATTAAATTTATTTCTCATAAAATAAAGTTTTCAGGTTCTGCCAAGAAACTAGAACATGTATCATAGTTCAGATTTTCATGGAACAGTTCATCCATAGAATGGTGAATCTCCAGAATTGTGTGTGTGTGTGTGTGTGTGTGTGTGCATATTTACACGTGTAAGGTGCAGACATTTAGCGATAGGATTGTAAATAAAAAGAACGTTATTTCTTCTTTGTAGCCCCAAAGTGAAGGAATTCCTCAACAGTTCATCCATAGAATGGTGAATCTCCAGAATTGTGTGTGTGTGTGTGTGTGTGTGTGTGCATATTTACACGTGTAAGGTGCAGACATTTAGCGATAGGATTGTAAATAAAAAGAACGTTATTTCTTCTTTGTAGCCCCAAAGTGAAGGAATTCCTCCTCCCAACCACATGGCCCAATTCACTTTGGATAGATGTGGATGGCCATCCATAAAACCGATCTTGGTGCTGTGGGGTCTGTGCTGGGTTAGCAGCACAGAGGAGGAAGAGGAGAAGCAAGGAGCCTGTCCTGTAGAGCTGGGCAGATGCCAGACGTCTGGGGACAAGCTTTTAAACTCCCCAAACCCATCAAAGAATTCATCGCCTCCAAAAGCAGAAGTCTACTTCAGTTTTCATAAAGGCATGAAAAACAGGGCACAAGGGAGCATGCACCTTGTTTCGGTGCAAAATCAATGTTCTCAGAAACGTCTAGGCAGCCGTTTTGGTTGTCACTTGTCCTGATACAAAGGATGAAGAAAAATGTGTAATCCTTTAAAAATGCTTGACAATTGTAAGTACTTTTTGAGATACAGTGATTCTCATAATAGCATCGTGAACGCTACTTTCTTGAGCTTGAAAGCTTTTTTTGTGAGTCTGTTGAAAAAAAGGAAAAAATATTTAAACTTTTATGCAGCCTATTTTCTCAAGCTGTTTATGAGGTCTGTAATGTAATCAGTGCCTAATATGATATTCCATTCTATTCGAGCAGCAGCATATCAGTTTGTTAACAGAAATGAAAGAGGAAAGAAGCACAGATCTTTTGCATAGCTGAATAATGTAGACTAGAATGGCCTAAAGAGTCTTTCAGTTTGCTGCGGCTCTTTATCATCAGACACTTGGCAGCCATACATTTTAAAACAGGCATTGTTGAGTATAGCTTGTTTTGTTGGTGACTCAGATTTTTGCTGAATAAAATTACACCAGATTCAGTAGATTTAAAAAACAGTATCTTTTTGTATTAAAGATTCCATTTACAAATTAGTAAGATCTTCCTAGGCTTGCAGTGCAATCCAAGGTACATTTGCTTAGAAGTATAGTCACTGTTTCCAGTGAGGCTTATTCTCAGGTGAACATGCATATCGTTGGAGACCTCATTAGGAGTATGGCCAATTAGGAGGATGGCCATTATAAAGATGTTCTGTGTTCATTATGAGAAGAATAATCTAATTTGGTATAGGTTTTTGACCAAAAAATTCTGTTGCATAATGTCTCCAGATAGAGACCAGAGTTTATATGATGACTCACGGAGTAATTTGCTTCAATGTAATGGTCACCTCAGCACTGATGAGAACTGTGAAGCTTTGCAGTGGTGTCTGCCACAAAAGACACCTCATGAGAAATCTTCAAAGGTATGCAGAAACCAGCTGAAGTACATTTCTGCTTTAATTTACAGCAGAATTTCAGCCACTGTCTGTTGAAAAACCTCACCATCTTTTGAGGTAATCCGTTCTAGTGTTGAAGAGTGCTTCTCATTTTTCCCTTGCGTAGGTTTCAGCCGTGCATGTGTTGCAAACCTTGGTTCGCGGTTCCGGGCTTGGAACAGCCCTGCGCCAGCACATCCCACCCATGGCGGTGTTGTTTCTCAAGGCGCTCAGCTCCCCAAGCTGGGCCATGAGAAACGCAGCCATCCAGCTCTTTGGTAAGTCCCGCCCTTCCCATGACAGTCCCCATAGCCACCCTGCCCCATAAGAGGTTTTCCTGAACATGCAGGCCGATGGATATCAATAAACGAAGAGCGGGTCTTTTGTAAAGTTAATAGCTCTTAATTGCCCATTCAAAGCCAAACTGCTCTCAGATGCTTTCCATTATACCCGGGATCGCTGGCAACAATATCCTGTTCCTAAGAATATCCTTTTGCCCCTGTTAGGAGGGTTACAGCTCCACTCATGAGGAACCAGGGGTGTTTAAGAGGGTGGTAGATGAGATCATGCCCGCGATGTTTAGAAACTCCTGAGGCTTTAACCTTATAAATTCTGACCCCACTGCAGGAGAGAAGGCAAAAGCCCTTTGCCAAGGGGCATAACATGGCAGCGATCCTGCACCTCGGCTTGGAAGGGTTGCACGTAAATTTTAATGCTCATGATCAGAACTGTTTGGATTCTTCCAAGTTATAAAATTAGGAATCTGTTGTCATAAAGGGAAACCAAGAAGAGTGTTGTTAAAATGGACTTGTTAGTCCATTTTTTTTTTTAATCTGGAGGGAATGGAATGATGATGACAATAACCATAACAACAACAGAACTGCGGAGAAGGAATAGACCCTATGGATCATCGAGTCCAGCCCGTGTCAGAGAGGCACAGTGGGGGAATCAAACTCCCAGCCCCTGGTTCCTAAGCCACTGAGCTATCCATCCGGCAGGCTGCAGTATTTGGTTTTCATCAGAAATGTTTTGCTGGATCCCTTTGGAGAAGGAGAAGACACTTGAAAATTAAAACAAAGCTTTGATCAAAACAAAGCTTTAAGTCAGTGTCATTGTAAACTCCTTCTGCCACAGTCAGCAGGACATGGGCTGAACAGAAGCATATTTGGGGTGGGAATCTTAATACTGTATTATACATTATTTATTTCTATGCCGCCTTTCTCCCCAAAAGGACCCAAGGTGGCTTATATATCACTAAAACAGTATTTAAAACCTAGAAAAGTAAGTATACAAATATTTTAAAAGGATTAAACAAGTGCTATATTAAAATGGTAAGTAAGATAGATCAGTATTAAAACACATTTAAAACAACAGAGCACAACACTCAATTTTAAAGCCCCTCTCAGACCACCAGTCATTAAGGAAAAGCCTGCCTGAAGAGAAAGGTCTTTGCCTGCCTGCGGAAGGACAGCAAAGACGGGGACAGCCTGGTGTCCAGTGGGAGGGAGTTCCAAAGTCTCTGGAAGCAGCTACCGAGAAGACCCTCTCCCGTGCCCCCTCCAAATGCACCTGTGAAGGTGGTGGGACCGAGAGGAAGGCCTGCCCTGATGATCTTAATGCCTGGCTAGGCTCATAAAGGGAGATACCAGTCTTTCAGATAGCTTGGACCCAAGCTGTTTAGGTCTTTCATACGAAACATACCATTTCTCCTTTGGAAATTTTATCATGTGAGACACCCAAGGCTGTACCTGCTCTTTGTGAATCGATGCCCCCTGGTGGTTCTTTTTGGTTGTGCTACTGTGGACGTCTAGAGTGCAGGTGGACCACTTCTGGCCCGCCTGATGGTCTTGGACTGCAACTCCCATCCAACATAGCTGGTAGAGTCAACATTGAGAGGTCCTGGGAGTTTATCTTCCCATATCTTTCTTGACTGCCTTGGCATGAGATCCACGGCCCTCTCCCCTCCTTTATCATCACGCCAACCCCGAATGGTAGGTAGTTCAGGCGGTGGGACAAACATATTGTACTACCAGTCCTGCCGTCTTGCTTTTAGGCCGTTTTAATTATTATTGCTGAAACTTTATTGATGTTTAGTTTTGATTTTGTAACTATTATGTTTATCGGTTTGGATTGTTCTCTGGTGTCATGTTTGTTCAATAGGCAAACTGCCCAGAGTGGGTGGTAATAGAAGTCAAATAAATCAATCAATAAACTGCCCAAATTCACCCAAAGGGCTCAATAGCTCAAATGGGACATAGATACGAATCCCCCCGCTCCACACTGCCCACACTGGCCTTAAGGCTGTCTGAAAGCCACGATTATTCTGCCCCTCACACCAAGATCTGAAGCGTTTCCGTCCCTGCTTTGTTTCCTCCCAGCTGCCTTGACGGTACGCCTTCTCGGTCAGAAGCGCAGGAGGGACGAGAGCCGCGGCCCAGAAGGAGTGAGCCCGGAGGCCCTCTTCGGCTGCTACCCTCCGCTGAGGACCATCCTGCTCGGAGAGCTGATCTCGGCCGTGGAGGCCTCCGGGTCTAGAGCACCCCAAAGCGGGAAGCTTCGCCTCTGCCCCTCTCTCTACGCCATCCTCACCTTTCTGGCAAAGCTCCAGCCTAGCTCAGACACCCGGAACAGGTAAAGAAGGGAAGCTGAGCGGCTTCCGGTTCTACACCGAGGGCCAAACTGTGGCCATTTCCCATCAGTTGGCAATCTTTTTTTTCCCTGTCTTCACAGACAGATGTGGGCACACACAAACACATGCCACAGAGTCCAGTCAGATGCGTTGTGCAATAAAGCAAAGTTAACCTTTTTTATAGGAAACTTTCTATTTGGCCACTTGGTTTCCATCAGCCAGTAAGGTCCCCCGGTACTCTCAGACATTCTGGCCTGTGGCTCAGATCCAGGTTCTGTTGGAGCCCAGCTGAAGATGGTACGCAAATGCCCAAATAAGAGCAGTAATGGTTGTTGTGGGTTTTCCAGGCTATTTGGCTGTGTTCTTTTCTTCCTAACATCAGTCTCTGTGGCCGAGAGTCAGAACTCTCTGATCTGGTGCCGTTTTGTGGGATAGTTGAGTAGTTATAGCTGTGGGATCAGCTTTTGTCCTTTTCAGGAGATTGGGTGATTATGGTGATCAGTGTGTTTTTTGTTGTAGACCCAGGCTTAACAAACTAACAAACGACTAATGAGCAGGCTGGAATGCAGAACGCTGAGAGGTCTAGCTACTTAAAAAGGACAGACATCAAAATGGGTTCCTTGACCAAATGAAAATAGAGGAGGTGCCATTTCTTGACAACAAAAATATGTGGTTGCGTGGAAACTGCCTTTACAGCCCAGGCTCTGGAAGTTGTAGACAAACGCAGAGGAGGAAACAGGAATGGCTCGGCAACGTGGCGAGTGATTTAACGCTTTCCTCCACCCCACTGATCCAAAAATTCTGCTGCTTTGCCCCATGAGTTGAGGCTAAACTACCCCATTGGGTGTAGACATCCAGGTCTAACCTTTTCCTCCCTTCCTTCCATTTTCCATCTTCCTTCCTCCCTCCCTTCTCCAGCCACACCCTCTGTTTCCTCAAGCCTCTCATCCAGCTTTCCAGCAACCCCATTTATGCTGTGCGAGTGATGGCGGCAAAGGCCCTGGTCCCCCTCATTCCCGGGGTGGAATATCAAAACGTCCTCTTGCAGCTGGTCTCAGATTTACCACTGGCAGATGATGGGCTCTCCCACAATGCCTTGCAGGGGTGTTTGCTGCAGATCCAAGCAGTGCTGACTCACGCCCTCCGAGTGAGCCGGTAAGTGACTTTTCTGACCGTGACGTATCTCAGGGAAGTGGCGGAGAGCTTTCTGGCAGGCTCGCCAAAGCTGGGCTAGGAATCCTAGGGTTCCGCGACACGGGGACGAGACACGTAAAGGAGGATCCGTGTGCGGAAAGAGGGTAGTGGAGATGCGCTCTAGATGCCAGTCTAGATTTTGTGGGGAGACGGAAGAGGCTCTGGCAGTGTGAATAAGTGAACCTCCTCACATGCAGACGACCGAGGATAGAGAGAGGAAGCAGGAACTGTAATTGCAGGGTTTAGAGCTGGAGGAAGAGACGAGAGAGATGAACAAGAAAACATAAAGAGAAGAATTCAGATCATAAATAATTCCGTAGCTATAACACCAAAGAACAACTCAATAAACTACCAATTTATATATAAATAATTAAATAATAATAATAATAATAATAATAATAATAATAATAATAATAATAATAAAAGTAGCATGCCCTCTCCTTCACACAGAAAATTCCCAATGTTTCAGCATTCTAGTGATTTTCAACATATAGTGAAACACACACACACACAGACACACATATTGAAAAACTGTAGGGTGTGTGAGTTACACAGTTGGAGTTTGTTTGCTTCTATTTTTGTCCCACTCAATTAGTGGCCAGGAGACAAACTGAAATAGCACAAAATGCACAACAGACCCCCCAAAAAAGATTTAGTTGCTGTGTATTTTGTGCTATTCCAACATGTGTGTCTCTGTGTGTGTGTGTTGTTGGAGTCAGTTCAATTGCTGTTTGTTGTTATATCTATTGACTGCCCATTATTTATTATCTGAATTCTGCCCTTACGTTTTCTTTTATTAATATTGCTCTGTTCTGAGGAATTCATTATATTTCGAGCAGCCTAGAGTCTCCTACACAGCATCTCTTGTGTATATCTAGATTGGGGGTGGGATACGTGAAGTCCACAAATGAAGGGCAGCCTCCCAGCGTGCCAGGAATCCCCCCCCCCAAACCTGCACTCCCCATAACGGCAGGAAAAAACAAACTCTTCTTTGCTCACAAAGTCCTCGTATATATTTCAGGGGACATGGGAAACAATTTTGCCTTATGTTGGGCCCTCTCCTCAGCATCCTTTTGCCCCTTCACCCAAAATATTGTGTAAATTGGCCTTTAAAAATAAAGGGCTGCTGTCTTCTTGGTGAAAAGGGGGATTTTTGGAAAAATACATATATTGGGGGGATTGTCATGAGTCAGGAGTGGGTGTGACTCTTCTACGCCTGGCGTGACCGGGTGCTGGATCCAGACATCTGGGAACTGCCCACCCCTGATAGATGCCAAAATCCTATTGCAGATTTAAGTTTTTATAAGGAAAATTATGGAAAATGATGTAAGAGGATCCGGGGACGCTGCGGGTTAAACCACCGAGCCACAGGACTATTGATCAAAAGGTCGGCAGTTCAAATCTGTACAATGGGGTCAGCTCCCGTCGCTTGTCCCAGCTCCTGCCAACCGAGCAGTTCAAAAACACACAAATCCGAGTAGATGAATAGGTACCACCTCAGTGGGAAGGTCACGGCGTTCCATGTCTATTTATGCCAGCCACGTGACCACGGAAAGTGTCTATGGGCAAACGCTGGCTCATCAGCTTACAAACAGGGATGAGATTTAATTGTCAAGGGGAACCTTTACCTAAGGAAAATTACATAAAGCTTGGCAGAAAATTGCCACCTGTTAACGAGGAGCTGATTGTGTGCTTAGACGGGCGTCTTGTTGTGCATTCGGGCACATGACCAGGAATGCAGCCAAAACTTTTCATAATGAGCAGGATTCTGCCATTAGGAGCTACCCAATTTCTCTTTGTGTAAGTGAAAAACTGGCCATAGGATTCCGGCCAGATAGCTAGAAAGAACGTTAATGCAAGAAGGGGGGGAAATTCCATTGTTTTTTCCCCTTTTTCAGCCTCTCTCCCGACGTGTTGCTCTCCATCACCCGTGGTGTGGAAGAGCGTGTCTGGTTGGTTACCTCTTCTCAGCGATGTCTTCTGGTCCGCATCGCCTACCTCCAAGTGGTCTCTCTTTTGACGCCGAGCTGTTCGCAAACTTTTGCACAACACATTTGGGAGATTGTGAGCGGGGAGCTGGCCGACCCGAAGCCCGCAAAGAAGCCCGGCTTCTCCGAAGCACAGGTATTTGCCTTTCCCAAAGGTTGCGGTCATGGTAAGGCTGACAGAAATGTGCGATAAGTAGAGCGCACAACGAGGCTCTTCGCTCGGCGTGGGGCCGGAAGACAGGCAAGGAAAGACAGTGAACTTCTCTGTGACTCATTTCAGGGAAAAACACACCTCGCCTCAGAAATTTGCACCTCTGCAAGGCTTATGGGGCATTTCGGACAAATAAAAGTGCACCAAAAATAGTGCATGGTATGTTTTAAAATACTAAAAGGGATGGGGGGTAGAAGAGAAATACCCACGAACCTGCATGATTCAGTGGGATAATACACTGTGATAAGATGTTCCAGTATCTATGCCAGTTTAGGGGAGAAATGCATAGAGTACATGTGAATTTTCAGGGCTGGAAGAAAACACAGCATTTCATGACTTCTGGGTGCAAAAGAAGAATGTGAAGAAAATGGGGGGGGAAGTCTGGAGAAGCAGGACGAAAACAAGCCAAAGAGAGATTCTCACACCTCCGCTGGGGAATGTGTGCAAGCAGGATTTTGAAGGCCCCCCCTTGATATCCAGAGGAAGATCATTGACGGAGGTCGAATCTGTGAAAACGTTTCTTTGCAAAAATATGTACACCATCCACTTGATCACAACGAGTTGTTAGCGAGGTGCTCCTGTTTGCTGTCCTTCGCCCTTTTTAAAGGAGAAACTTTATGTGTTTCATTATCTCTGTCTTCAAGGACCTTAAGACAGGAAACACAGTTCTTTCTCACTCTTAATTTTATCCTTACAGCAGCTTAGGGAAGGGAGCTTAGACTGAGAGACTTCGGGGCTTGCTGAGTTGGCTTCTTAAAGTAATTTCTTACAGCACTCACTGCAAAGTCCTAACATGTACAGTAATTCATTATTTGAACACAAAAGTAATTTCCTATTTACACTGCTTGTTTCATTGCACATTACCTGGTGTGTTATCTTTGCTGACTCACAGGGCAGGTAAGTCTTAGGAACAGTTTAAAAAGCAACACGGAACATAGGAAATCCTTCAAAGTTCCTGTAAAATGCCCTGGAGAGTAATTTTAAAAGTGGCTTGTAAATATTATATACACAGAGACATGCCAGTATGCCATTTACACCCTTTATGTTTCTACATGCAACTTCATTGGATTCTCATTGCAGTAGAATCCCCCTGTTTGTGGGATTAGTATCCACTGATTCAGTTATCCACGATCTGAAAATATTAAAAGAAAAATCATAGAAATATATATTTCTAATGATGAAATGACCAGAACTGGCCACTGGAAGGAGCCAGAGACCATGCTATGTATAGCATTCACTATTAAAACCGTGTATGGTATTATCCGCTGTTTTCAGCATTCACGGGGGAGGCTTGAAACTGATCTTTAAAAAGTGACAGTAGTAACAATTTAGAAGCAAACATGTGACTTTGGAGCTCTGAGGGACAGAGTGACTGTTCCTTCACGCTTGAGTGGGGATGTCTTCAATCCAGGTTTCGGGGACCTGGCCTCAATTCTTAACTGCTACTCTCTTCGCAGTCTCTGCACACCAATACCAATTCTCCCTCTTTATTCAGCTTTTCTTCGTTCTGTCCCAGGTTGGTTTTGCCACGTTCCGCCAACATGCCGTCCATTTCCTGTGTCACGAGGCGACGAGACGGGGATGTCCCGAGAAAGCTGCCGAACTTTGCTCGCTCCTGCAAGGGGGGAGCTCCGATGTCCAGGTTGCCCTCCTGACCTGGCTGCTCGAGACGGAGGAGAGGGCAGGCATGCCTTTCTGTGAGGCTCTGTGGCCGGCTCTCCTGGTGAGGCCCCTCCCTTGGTTGTCGGAGGTCCCACGAGGTGGCCTTGCATCGATAGAATCAGAAAGAATGTCCACACTATACAGTTAGAGCCGTTTAATACCAATCCAACTCTTCTGGCTTCATCCTATGTCGTCCTGGGAGCTGTAGTTTGGGGATGGGTTGGGAACTCTACTAGCGCACCCTCCCCCCGAACGACCCATCCCAACCTAAACTACTATTCCCAGCATGCTGTAGGATGGAACAAGATGGATTAGAGTGGTATCAAAACCACAACAACTGTGACATGTAGATAGATTCCTCTAGGTGGAGGGATCTTGGCGGTCATTCCAACACAACTGTCAGCCAAAGATAGACCTCTGCAGAAAATGAGCCATCCCGAAAGACGGGCAGAAGGATGTGGGCTACCTCAAGGCACTGATTTGGGTAGCAAACGGTTTGCCATTTAATGAACTGTGATTAATGGCTTTCTTAGGGGCATGGTGGCGCTGCAGGTTAAACCACAGAAGCCTCTGTGCTGCAAGGTCAGAAGACCAGCCGTTGTAAGATCGAATCCATGCGACGGAGAGAGCCCCCGTCACTTGTCCCAGCTCCTGCCAACCTAGCCGTTCGAAAGCATGTAAAAATGCGAGTAGATAAATAGGCACCACATCGGTGGGAAGGTCACGGCGTTCCGTGTCTAGTCGCGCTGGCCACGTGACCACGGAAACTGTCTTCGGACAAGCACTGGCTCTATGGCCTAGAAACGGGGATGAGCACTGCGCTCTAGAGTCAGACACGACTGGACAAATTGTCAAGGGGAACCTTTACCTTAATTGCTTTGGAAGGGGGATAGGGTTATGGAATTTTTGGCCTCAATGGTGAAACTCGCTTAACCAGTTTTAGGCGCCGCACGACTGGATTAGGGGGGGAAATTCCTTTCCCACTTAGGCAGAAAAGTGTGTTGAGTGCATTTGTACCTTCATCTATTTTATATGGACACCACATTTCACCCGATAAAGAGACACACGTCAGCTTGCAAAATCTTTCAAAGATAAATGTTCAAAACAGTTAAAAATGCAATACATGATGCAACCGGTCCGGGTTCAGGCGACTTTGGGCGCACTGATTTGAGACCTCAACCTATCATTTCCTGGGAAGTTCCTTCCGCTGGCCTTTGACCTCTGCGTGTCCCAGAATTACCAAACAGATTTTCAAGTCAAGGATGGAACTAGTTAAAATAACCACTATTGCTGCCATTGGTTTTAAGGAACCAACTTGATAATGGCCATTGTCTCTTTCTCCGCTTTATATTTTAACTTTATATGTCTATTTCTCCACCCCTTTCCTCAAACTCCGTTTCTCTTCTTTGAATTAGGAGAAACTCGGAGAGTTGCTGAAGGGTGAAACGGATCCTGTGCTTCTAAAATTATACATGGAAGCTTTCGTGCAGGTGTATGAAAATCTCTCTGCTCAGAATTCATGTTTTCTTCATAAGCCCTTGGGGGCTCTACATGCTGAACACATGGGAATCCTCCTATCTATGGTGGAAAGTGACCGTCTCGGTCCAGAGCTTCTGGGTCACATGCTGTGTGTTCTTGCTTTGCTCTTGACTCTGAAGTAAGTAACCTTTTAATATTAGTGTCTTAATTGCCTTGTGAAGTATGTCTAAAAAGTGGTAGCTGAAATAGGTAAGTGAACAATACAGTCATGCCCCGCTTAACGATTACCCCGCATTACAACGAATCTGCTTTACGATGATGTTTTGCGATCGCAATTGTGATCGCAAAACGCTGGTCTAAATGGGGGAATTTCGCTTAGCGATGATCAGTTCCCTGCTTCGGGAACCAATTTTCGCTTTATGACAATCAAAAACAGCTGATTGTCGGGTTTTCAGAATGGCCGCTGGGTGCTTAAAATGGCTCCACGCTGTGCTTAGGGACGGATTCCTCACTATACAGGCACCAAAAATGGCTGCCGTATGGAGGATCTTCGCTGGACGGTGAGTTTTTAGCCCATTGGAACGCATTGAGGGACGCTTTATGATGTTTCCGGTTAACAGCGATTTTCCTGGAATGGATTATTGTCGTTAAGTGAGGCACCACTGTATATTTTTTCTTTAAATGGCAGAAATCCTGTTCCTGAAGTTACACCACAGAAGGCTAATAATATCATCAGCCTTATGCGGTGTAATTTAGGCGAGAGGATCACAGCCAATACCTGACAGCAGAGAGAAGTGTCAGGAACGTTTTAAGGAGACGCATTTAAAATAAAAGTAAAATGCCCGTACATTTTGCGGAGGATCGTCTTCCTCTCTGCAGATATAGTACAGGTCGTAGCGTGAACAAAACGGTGCCGTGCGATGTGCTGCTTTCCAGCGTGCCGGCCGGTCAGAAGCATCCTTTGCCAAGAAATTCCAATCCATATTCCTCTTGAAGCCAGCGAACATTCTGTAACAACTTTAGTTCTTCCAGAATTGTTTCTCTTAGAGATAGGGTTTCCACCCACCCCCTTGAGAAGTTTTTGATCAAAACGGTGTTCTGCTGGTTTCTCCTTTTAGGGGGGTGGGTCTGGGCGGAGCTGTTTCGACCACCTAAAGATCCAGGCTGATGGAGTCGGAGAAAGGTTGAGTTTTGGTCATTCTCAAAGGAGCTAAATGGCCTTTGACGTTTGGTTTCCTACAGACGACGTAACTTTTCCTCTCTCTTCTTGACAGTCCTGAAGATTATTCTGCGTGGGAACAGTGGAGTGTCGTCATAGAACGGCGCAGCCAGGCCCTCTCGCCAGAGGTGCTCAGGATGGCTGTGGCAAAATCGCTTAAAATAGCGGGCGTCCCTCTGATCCGGAAGGCCCGGGAATCCTCCGGTTCAACCCTTCAAGCTGTGGCCCTCTGGTATGTCACCCTTGCAATGGGCATTCCCGGACAGCTACCGGGCCTCCTCAGCCTTGCTTGGCATCGTTGGCACCTGCCTTGCCTTCGATGATTTTGCTTCAGTTTGGCCGAGCTTTCTTTGCGTCGCCCGATGACGATTTTTTTTTTACTTCCCACAATGCCCCTGCCCTAGCGTAACACCAAGGGCATTGTGGGAAATTGAAACACTCAAAAGAGAGAGCTTGATGTGACCTTTTGAACTAGACTTCTTAGCTTTTGGTTCCCTTCTCACCAAGACACGGCCAGGTATGTTTGAGACAAGCTTTTTACTTCTCTCATCCTTAGTGCAATTCACTGCGGCAGAGTTGAGCTCATTTCCCTTTAACGCAGAGGGAGGCACCAAAGTCCCATTTATTTAAGGGTTTTTGATACACGGAAGATTTGAACTCAGCTCTCTTGTTAAGTCTAGCCGGAGCCTGGCCATTCCCCACATCTTGTTTTGTCCCGTGTCCCAGTCAAGTTGCCTGCTTTCTTCATGTCTTCACAAAAAAACTGGACACCAGGTTGCACCCGTGTAGCTACTACACAACAGGATTTCAGCCGCTGACTCTGTAAACTGTTACTGAACAGTTCAACAAACTCATAGGAACAAACTCATTTGTCATTAATTGTTTTCAAACTTTGCCAAACCACTCCATTAATATAATTTATTTTCTAACTTTATCCCTCTCCTCAGCCTGTTGGACGCCGGGATTCGCCTGCTCCAGGATGAAGACCAGGAAGTGAGGAAGGAAGCGTCCGTCTTTGCCAGCCTCCTGATGCAACAGCAGCCCTTCTCAAGGGTTCCGCGTCAAAGCACCTCCATCTTGCTTCAGACCAACAAAGCTCTTCTGAGCATCCTGACATTCGTGCGGGAGCAATTTGGCAATTGCCCCCAAACCTTTGTGTACCTGGCGCATCACCTCCCCACAGCAGAAGCCAGAGATGCCTTAACAGAGCTGGAGACCAAGGGGTGAGGAATAGAAATACAGGAGGACCCCCGTATCTGTGGGCGATCAGTCCCAAGTCCCCTCAACAGATGCTGAAAAATGTGGATTACAGCAAACACTACAGTGGTGCCCCGCATAACGAGTGCTTTGTTTAACAACAAATCCGCATAGCGATGTGTTTTTTGCAATCGCATTGTGGTGTTGTAGATGGGAAAACATCGCTTTGCGATAATCAGTAATTATTTCGCTTACCGATTATTGCATAATGATGTTTTGTAAACAGCTGATCAGTGGTTCCAAAATGGACGCTGGGTAAAGAAAATGGCCGCCTGCAGTGTTTTCGCACCCTTTCCTCGCTTACCGGGCAGCGAAAATGGCAGCCGCATGGAGGATTTTCGCAGAACTGTGAGTTTTTTGTCCATAGGAACGCATTAAACGTGTTTTAATGCGTTCCTATGGGCTTTTTTGCCCCGCATAGCGACAAATCCGTATAGCCACAATTTTTTCGGAAGGGATTATCGTCGCTATGCGGGGCACCACTGTATTTTAATAGTGAACAGTAGTCTCTGGCTCCCTCTTGTGGTCAGTTCTGGTAACTTTGGGGAAAGGATGAATGACCTTGTTTCAAGCCGGACAGGTAGGAGGCAGAGGGGGAAAAACCCGGACAAGGCTGTACAGTCCTCAGAACTATACACATGCAGGATCAGGTTATACCTTTAAAGAGATGGGTCATCAATCTGAGACCACTGGCTGAAGAGGGGACGGAAACCACCCCCTCTTCCCACATGCATCTTGTAGACTACCGTCTACAGGTGTCTCCATCTGAGACGTCACACCTGTTTCGCTGTTAAGCGAAATCCTTATCAAGCGAAATGAAAAAGCCCATTGAAATGCATTGAAACTGGTTCAATGCATTCCAGTGGGCTGAATACCACTGTGTCCAGCAAAGATCCACCCTGAAAACACTGCGGGGAGCCATTTTGCACAGCGGGCAGCCATTTTAGAACCGCCAAGCTGCTGTTTCAAAATCATTGTTTAGTGAAAAATAGGTTCCTGAAGCAGGGAACCGATCATCGTTAAGCGAATTTTCCCCATAGGAACATCGTTTTGCAATCACAATAGCAATCACAATAACTTCATCGTAAAGTGGTTTCATCGTTTAATGAGGCAATCGTTAAGCAAGGCACTACTGTAATTTGTTGGTTTTATTTATTTTATTTATTTTATTTATTTATTGGATTTATATACCGCCCCATAGCGCTACAAGCACTCTCCGGGCGGTTTACAATTTTAATTATACAGGCTACACATTGCCCCCCCAGCAAGCTGGGTACTCATTTTACCGACCTCGGAAGGATGGAAGGCTGAGTCAACCTCTTAGCTTTTAATATTGTGTTTTTAATGATGAAAGCTGCCTTGGGTGCTTTTTTCAGGAGAAAGATGTGGTAAAAATACATACATATGTACATGCATACATACATACGTACATACGGGCTTGATGAGGTCAGAAGCAACATCTCTTATGTTGAGTATAAAATAGTGTGTCCCCTTGGCTCTATCCACTTTATTTATTCACATTTTAAATAAATCATTCATTAATGATCCCTCACTCTAGTATGCATATTTGTGTTTTTGGACTACAACTCCCTGCGAATTCTGGATGCTGTAGTCCAAGAAGCCTCCACAACTCTAGATTTGACAGTGCCTCCTTTAAAAGCGTAGATTTGCTCAATTGCAAGAATTAATTGACCCTGTCAACAACAATGGCCTGTATTTTCAAAATCCCAGATCAGGCCACTCTGTCCTGGTGGGGCCATGGAGGCTGGGAATAATGGGAGTTGTAGTCAAAGACATCTGGAAGACACCCAGTTGGAAAAGACTTCATTAGAACAGTAGCTCAAGTACAGACTTTTCTTAGCATATATATATCTCTCTCTCTTTTACACTTTCTCTCTCTGTCCCCCACTCCCTTCCACAGAGCTGTCAGTCTGTATAAAGAGGACGAGCCCAATGTTTACGCAGAACCTGCGGTCCTTTCCCAAACCCTGCTCCCCTTTCTCCTCCAGCTCCTGGATGGAGCATCCACTTCTCCAGAACTCTGGGGGCCGATGCAGGACTGGCTAAAAGCTACCATGCCTGGGCTCTTCTCTGACCTTCAGTACTGCCGGATATGGTGGAGTCGAGGTAAGGGTGTTTTATGGGCAGGCAGCCAGACATTGGAGCAATTCTGTGGCTCTGTGATTCCCTCCTTCAGGCACAGAAATTGATCTTTCACCCCAAAGGTCAGCATTAGAGATGGGCACGAAGCACTTTGTACCGTGTCGTCTAAGTCGTCATTGCAAAACCGCAAATGCTGTGCGTTCACTTTTCCCATCCCACTGAACAGCCATTGTCTGCCTCCTCCAGCAGCCACCCACTCAGATGAGGCAGGGCAGGGATTCTGGCAGTGCTGCCTTTGAGTGAGCAGCTGCTGGAGGAGGCAGAGAAGGGAAGCCCAGGCTCCTGTTGGAACGGAAGATCATGCAGCAGGAATGATCATGCAACACATACTGACAAGATAACACGGCACAAAGTGTTTCATGCCCGTCACTAGTCAGCATCCCAAGGAGATCTGTATTCTTTTAAAAAAAAAACTAATTATTTTTTAAAAAGCAGGTTTCTAGTCCTGTGGACTATGAAAACAGACATCAAGGACGATGAAGATAGTTGGACCCAGTTTTGTTTTTGTAGTTTCCTAATAATAAAATAATAATCATTGTGTGCCATCAAGTCAGTTCTGACTTACGGTGACCCTTTTGAGGGTTTTTCTAGGTAGCGAGTACTCAGAAATGGTTCCCCCTTCTCCTCTTCCTGGGGGGGGTACCCTGGGGCTGTGCAGTTTGCCCAAGGCCCTATAGGCTGGCTCTTCTCCCAGGAGGGCCTGGTGGGGAATCGAACTCTCCACCTCTCCTAACCCACTGAGTGATTGAGCCAGCTTTATCGATTCCCAGTCGTTTCATATTGGACAACCCTGGGGCTGTGCAGTTTGCCCAAGGCCCTATAGGCTGGCTCTTCTCCCAGGAGGGCCCGGTGGGGAATTGAACTCTCCACGTCTCCTAACCCACTGAGTGATCTAGCCAGCTTTATCGATTCACAGTTGTTTCATATTAGACAGAGAGGGACTTGGAGTGGAATACTGGGGTGTGGTGGGTGCCCTTTTAATGCGCCAGCCATGCCACGTCATCTTCCCATATATTCCACTCCCCCTTCCCGTCTCCCCTTCTCTCCTTGCATGCCTCAGTCCGACCATGGAACATCTGATTAAATATTAAGATGCAGGAATTTGGGAAGAGCTGGTTTGGGGGTTGAGGAAAGCAGACCTCGTGCTTGATGGGTTGTGACCCTCGCCTTCTAATCCAGGATGGCCACAGTCTGGGGATTCCCTCTATATGTGGCCAGGACTAACCCAGTGGCATCTGTGGTCTCTTCTGTAGCGCAGGGAGGGTACCAGAGTGTCCACCCGCACCATCGAACCCCGTAACTCAGTAGAGCAGATGGTCTCAGTCCTCCTAGCAAAGTAGTGCCCCCAGAAGCCTTCACCACTAGTTATACTGCCCAGAGTTTCTGGGAACAAGATGGCGGAGGACAAGGAAGAACGGGCATAAAATTAAGGGTCGGCGGTGGGCTGTGGGTCCTGCGTGGGCAAGCCTGGGTGATCGTCGGCCGTCCTGTGAATTCTCAAGCACGCCTCTTGCATTCCAGGTGACGTTTCCCTGCACTTGAAGGCTTTGGTTTGTCCAAAAGTCCAGATCGCCGTCGCCGCCCTGCTGGTCAAGGCTGTCCTTGCGATCGAGATGCTGGAGAAGGCCGAAGGGGGAAAGCTGCCGGCGGCCGAAGGCATCCGTCTCGCCTCCCAGGACTTGAGATGTGAAGCTCAGTCCGTCCAGAAGCTGCTTGCTGGCCACGGAGTGGCTCCTGCGATCGGCTTAGAGCAAGCGCTGTCGGGAAGCAAGAGCTGATCCTGGGGGTCTCCGTTCAGTGCATCACTGAGAGAGAGAATGAACCAGGATCACAGTCCCTTTCTCCGTTTTGGAGATCCCTATCACACCTTCTTGCCTGAAAGACAGAGAGAGCTACTACTCTCGTAGGCAGTTTTGGACAAATGCACACGGACACACACACCCCAGACAGGAGCCAACAGCTCTGGGGGCTTTCCTGCTGGCGTCAGAGGGAAGCCAGGTGTGTAGACAGGTGTCCCTGTAGAGACAGCGCTTGCAGGAGAGCCAGGAGGCTGAGCCGCTCAAGAGGACCACCAGCCGGGCAAAGGACAGGCATGTTCCCTGTCTTATGGGAGCAAGCCAGTGGCCAGACTGGGTGGGAGAAATCGCAATTCTCAAAACCTGCCCAAGTTCTCCAGATGTTCCCCTCTCTCGCAGCAGCCCAGTTTTTCCTGAGTTTGAGAAGGTGGGGAAAGAGCCCCTGTTTGGGTGGGGAGGGTGGCCTGTAGAAAGAGTCCTCTGCTCTATAGGGGACCAGTTTAAAATGGTAGAGGTGGCCTTACAGCTGGGACCAGCAAACTGGGGCCCTCCGCTGACAAGGAGGAATGCAGGGCGGGTTGACGTCTCTCAGTTGCAACCTGCTTTGCCAGTCCCTGCCCCAGAACCAATTATACTGGGCAGCTGTGGACCAGGGTGGATATTTTATATTTTAACCCCGTCCACTCCATCATTGGGAGTAGCCTCGGTTCTTTGGGGCCAGCGTCATTGTCTTAAGCCGTAGAGATCCACCTGCAGGTTGTGAGCGCCATCATCACGGTGCGAGGAGGATTCGAAGGTAAAGCTTCCAAAGCGCAGAGGTCGCTGTACGAGAGGTTCCTGATTTTTCTGAACCGCCCGGCGCTCATGTTCAGGGTTCCGCGTCTTGTTCCTGTTATAAGGAGCTCATCAGATCGCCCTGGAGGGCAGAAGAAAACAATTTGGAGCGGGATCTTCTCGTTTTGTCTCAATAAAGTGTGTCTGTTTGTTTACTGAACCATAGCCTGTCTTCTGCAGAGATACATATAGCTTAAATTAATACATATAGCTTAGGAACTGGTTTTGAAATGTTTTCCATTATCCGCCTTAATTAAGGGCAGAAACCCCCTCCCTCCTATGTTAACTGCCCGTGGAGGTATAACCGACCGCTGTCCATAAATCGATGCTGAACACTGGAAAACACAGCTGGGTTGCAGGCTGAGGCACCTTTCAAACAAGCCTGGATAGGGGGGATAGTGAGTCCCAGACTCACGTACGCTGTTGCAAAGACCAGTAACCTGTGATTTTTAAAACCTTGTGGTCTTGGAAAGCACCCGAAATCCTTTGGACTCGGACTGGCAAGAGCCACGAATCCTCTTTCTTTCACCGTAGAGTAACTGCATAGCCTAGGGAAGAGAGACCTCCACCTATGTAGACACAATATTTTGGAAAGGAAGGTGTTCGAGGTCCTCTTAATGTGGGATCTGTTCATCTCCAGCCTCCGGGGCAGACGGCTACTCAGCACACAAAGCCATCAAGAAGTGTCCCAGTTTTCATCCCTAAAAAGGTTTTTTCCGGTGGCCGCTCTCCAGATGTTGATGAGCTACCACAGATCGCTCAAGAGGGGTGTGTTCAACTTGGAAGTCTGGGTGACCTGCCATGTGTGCGAATCATCCGCTCTTTAAAGGTTGCTGGTATTATAATTCCCATTTTCCCATCATAACAATGGGCCACCCCAATGGGAAGCAATAGGAACCATCATCCCAGCAACGTTTAAGAACTGAAGATTAAGAAACAGTTGGAAAATAGTTGAAAGCTGGACAAATGATGTCTTTTTTAGGAAGCAGGAGGGGTAAAGACAGAAAATTTCTGTTTTGAACTCTCAGTGGGGAATCCTTAATCCACCTACATTTTGGATCTCCTACAAATCCCATCACTTTGACCATCCTCGGTAGGGCTGATAGGCTTTGAGGTCCAAAACGTGCGGAAAGACAACTGATTCCCGTTCTTGAATGAAACTGGTTAAAGAAAACGTTGCTAGTGAGGTTTCACATGGGAGGAAGGAAAGAGGCACTGGGAAGGCCGGGAGGGCAGCAAAATTGGGGTTGTAAGAAAGGGTGATGAAAAATGTCCCTGATTCTCCCCTTCAGTGTTGAAAGCTCCAGGATCAGATCAAACCTGGAACTGTCTCTCGAGGCAAATAAATAGAAACGGACGCTGTTCTGCTCACGAGAAGGCAAGATTCTCCGGAAAAGACCCTAAGGCTGGGAAAAGTAGAAGGCAGCAGGAAAAGAGGAAGACCCCAATACAAGATGGACTGACTCCCTCAAGGAAGCCACAAGCTTGATTTTGCAAGAGATGAGCAGGGGAGTGGAGGGCAGGAGATGTTGGAAATCACCAATTCCTCGCCATAAATCCAGGGCAAGTTGACAGCACTGAACAAAATATTTAACACTGCCTTTCCCATCTGTTTATCATCCTCTCCCTTTTATTTATTTATTTATTTGATTTATTTGATTTGTATCCCGCCCATCTGGTCTATATACGACCACTCTAGGCGGCTTCCAATAGAACATTAAAAAAACAATAAAATAACACAAGAATATTACATAAGTCATCCAATAACAAATTACAATACAAAAATAGAGTAAGAAAGAAAGAATAAATTTTTTTAAAAAAAATTATCACCCCCAAAAGCTCCTCTTTCAAGCTCGCCTCCTGGATGCATTTTATCTGAAAGGCAAACGAGCCCAACTAAAAAGGATGCATTTTGCAACTTTCAAACGGGGGTGGAGTGTCATTTCGATCCCTTCTTTAATTAGGTGGAAATATTCAAATTATAATAGGATGGAGAGAATCTACCTAACAACCCCCGCCAAAAAAACACCCTTTGCTGTTTCCCTTATTATGAGTGGGGGGGAGGATGCTGCTTTATGGGTTGAGATGTGAAAAAAAAAAACCTCGGTGCGCAAGGCGGATTTTGCCTCTTTGCAAAACTAGGGAGAGAGAAAAAAAGGAGGTTAAAGAAGGAAACCACAGAGCTTGCTTGAACGCCAGCCTGGGAAACACCGCGTGGCTTCGTGGAGAGCCATTTCCTCTTCCTCCTCATCATCATCTTTACATTTGGGTTTTTTTTTCCCCTTGCAAAAAAAAAAACAAAAAAGAACCCTTTTCAACGCCCGAAATCACCGTCGGGACTGCTCTGCACTCTGCACGTGCTCAGAGGAGGGCTCCCCCGTGGGCGGCGGCCAAAGAAGCGATCGGGCGAAAGAAGGGCGTCGGGTGATGATTGTTGGTGTTTTTTTTCCTTCCCCTTCTTCGTTTTGGGGTGACTGGGGATGAACAGAAAACCCACAACTTAAATCAACGCACGCACCCCTGCAAAAAAAAAATCAACATTTTTAAGACAGCGGCGACTGGGAACAAGGTAAGCGGTACCACGTTTGTTTGCTTGGCCATTTAAAAATATATATATATTAAAAGCTAGCAACGTTTTTTCTAATATTCCTCATTTTTTTCCCTACCGTTCCTAATTTCCTAAGAAATAATGCGAGCGGTGGGTTTTTTCCCCTGATATCCTTAGCCCGGAGAAACTCCCGGTTTTATTCTCTTTTTCCCTTTTGGAACATGATTGCATCGTCATTGGGAGCCCTTCCAAGGCAAACCTTTGGCGAAATGGGTTAAGGACAAAATATGTAACTTATGAATACCTCTCATCCTTGCTGGAGGATGGGGGGGATTGTTACACCCCCCCGCACGTGCCCCAAAAGTAACTTTTTCAAGCTTCCGATCCGAAATAAAAGGGCTAAAAATGTTCAGCTCCTGGGTTACCCTAGTCGTGGGTGAAATATAGTGGTGCCTCGCTAGACGATGATAATCCGTTCCACCGAAATAGTTGTTTAGCAAAATCATCGTCTAGCGAAAAGCATTTCCAATTGGAATGCATTGAAACCTGTTTAATGCGTTCCAGTGGGGAAGAATCGTCGGCTAGCGAAGATCGACCATCGGAAAGCTCCTTTGCGAACCGCCGATCCCAGCGAAATCCCTCCATAGGAATCACTGTTTTGCGAATCGCTATAGCAATCGCAAAAAGTCAATGTCTAGCGAAAAAAACTGTCATGCAGGGTAACTGTCTAGCGAGGCACCACTGTACATGTGAGACCCTGTTTTGCTAAAGGCTGTGATCCTTACCTAATCGGGGAAACATGCTTGGATTCCATTGGGAATCCTTCTCACCAATTGACTGACTGATTGATTGATTGATTGATTGATTAATTAATTGACTGACTGATTGACAGACTGATTGATTGATTGATTGATTGATTGATTGATTGATTGATTGATTGATTGATTGATTGATTGATTGCCAGTGCCTTGGAGTCAGGGGCCCTCCTTTGCTTGGGAGGCCCTGGTCTTTGTTGAGAAGAAGATTGTATACAACACGATTGATTGATTGCCAGTGCCTTGGAGTCAGGGGCCCTCCTTTGCTTGGGACCCTCCTTTGCTTGGGGGGCCCTGGCCTTTGTTGAGAAGAAGATTGTATACAACGTATAAGGGCACTACGAGAGTTTAGGAAAGTTACTTTTTTAAACTGCATTTCCCAAGAGTTCCCCGAGCACTGGGGCTAATCGAGAAGTTCAGAAACTGACAAAGAATGTAAACACTGGACGGACCAAAAGTTGGCTTTGATAGGAAGCCTCTATTGAGATGTCTTTACCTGTAGAGGTGTGATGTTTTGAGTGCAGGTAAAAACTCAAAACATGAAGAGCAACTGTCTGGACGTTTGACTGGATGTTAGACGTTTGTGTGGCCAATCTGGCTGCCGTAGTGTGTTGTGGTGCTCAGAAGCCTGGCTATGAAATGTAAGGCCATGCTTCCCAGCTTTCTTCTGCCCACTCTAATATTTAAGACACTAGTCCTCATGACTTCGAAGAAACATATCTCAGAGAAATGCTGAGGTGTTATCATTTGGGGTGGGGTTGGTCAACAGGGCAAACCCTGGATTAGAGGGCACAGTTTTAGTCAGGAAAACAATACAATCTGATTAATTTTTTAAAAAATTGTTGAGGCATATAAAACTAAAATGGTGGTCTGTGGTTGTACAGTGGGGTCTTGACTTGAGAACTTAATCCGTATTGGAAGGCAGTTCTCAAGTCAAAAAGTCTCTAAGTCAAGTCTCCATTGACCTACAGTGCATTGAAAACCAATTAATCCCGTAACAGGCCGTTTTTGTTCCATTTTGGTTTTTTTCTGGTCTGTAAGTCAATTCTCAGGCTGCAAGTCAAACCTAAATTTTGCGGCCAGAGAAGTCTGTAACTCAAAAAGTCTGTAAGTCAAGCCGTCTGTAAGTCAAGGGTCCACTGTATAATGTATTTGTTATAGGTTTTGTACCTAGCATATAGTGTTATCCTTAAGGATTGTCAGTAAAAATAAACAAATAAATGAGCAATCTGACTAAATTGCCTTGTTCTGCTCTCCAACCCAACCCCTCGTTTCTGTCTGTTTTGCATCTCAGGGGCCGCCATGACAGCCACGAAGGTGAAGAGGATCAAGTTTTCCGACGAGGAGAAGTTTCTTATCCTGGAAGAATTTACTCTCCGTAAGGATATCCTCGTCCCGAAAAACGGCCGTTATAAGAACACCGCGGACCGCCAGCAAGCCTGGGAGGAAATTGCGAGGGCCGTCAACTCCCTCAACCCTGTGGTCCAGCGCACGCCGGAAGAGATCCGTAAAAAGTGGAAGAACATGGTGGTGGACGCCCAGAAGGAGCTGATGATGGAGAAACACCCGTTGCTCAGGAAGCAACCCCGGGACCAGCTTTTGCGAGACATCTTCGCTCTCCTCCATATGGCAGATGGGGTGATGCCCAAACCATCGCTTTACGATTCCGGTCGGGAACCGAAGCGTCGGAAAGCCCGCCGAGCACTAGAATGCCGGCGTGCTGGGCAGAAGGGCTCCCGAAACCGCCTTGCCTTCGGCATCTCCATGGTGACGGCCGGAACGCCCAGCCTGGCAAAATCGAGGCTCCTGGAGCTGGGGACCCAAACACGGTAGCATCGCAGACTGACTCCCTGAGGCACCACCTCGGCGCAGCCTTGCCCACGACTCCATCCAGGGAGGTTCCTTTTGAATGTGTCCGAGAGGAACCTCCAGAGAATCAGGAGCGGCTCTCGGGGGAGCCTTGTGGAGATGATGCTCCGTGGAGCACCCTCCACGCAGACGAACCACGCCGCGCTCGGCTTCGTAGGACGGCTTGGCCCCCAAACCAAGATTCCCCGGGGATGCTCAGGCTTGGCCGGATTCACAGGGCCCCGGAGTGTCCCTGGAGTCTCGCGTCCCCCTGCAAGGCCGAGTGTCCCCTCAGCTCCATTTTGGAATGGCCGTATCTCAGATCGTCCGGCAGCCCTCTGAGTCAGAGCAGCGGATTGAGCAGCCCCAGTTCAGACGGGCTTTGCTCCGCAGCCGGCGATCACGGTGAGCGATGGCGGCTTGGAATCCAGGCCAAGATGTTTTGGGTTCGGCTGGGGCCAGATGGTATGCCAGAAACGTGGGCAGGGATAATCAGTGTCCAGCTGGGATTTCTACGGTGAACGTAAGCCCTTAGAAGCCCCGGGCTGCGTGTCTGATGCTACAGATGATCTAGACCTAGCGATGGGCAGGGACGTGAAAAATGGGGATTTTATTAGTTGGGTGGCAGGCACTTGCTCAGAGGCAGTGGGCACAACTTCCCTGCCAGGAGCGGGCTGCCGAATCTGCGCATGGGCACACCTTATCCGCTGAGTGGCCTTGCGCATGCACAGAGGCCGGAACTGGCTCCAGGAAGCCCGGGGCTGCAGTCTCTGCGCATGCGCTCACTGCCCTTAACAGGAAAGCCAGGCCCACTGCCTATGGAGACGGCACCGGTGCAAGAGGAGGTGGTGGAAGCCGGAGCGGGCGCTGTGGGGAGGGGGCGGCCGGCTGGCCCGTTTTGCTAAAGCCAAATGAAGCGTCGAGGGGGAGGGTGAAGTATGGCGCTTCATTTGGCTTTGGCAAAATGGAATCCCCGAACTGGGTCATGAACGAAAACACGAATTAGCCCGGTTTGGTGTGTGTGGTTTTCTTTTTCTTCTGGTTTGCGCCCATCTCCATCTGGAACACTTGGATGGGCAAAAGTCCCTCAGCTCTGGTGTAAATCCTTGTCGCTCATAGACTCCTAAAACTCTAGAGCTGGAAGGGAACCCACCCTCTGATGGAAGCAAGAAGCAGCATCTGAACCATCCCCGAGAGGTGGCCATCTAACCCTGGTTGAAAAACGTTTAGCGCTTTGATGGCTCCTTGTCAAGGGTGCTTTGGCCGGGTTTGTCACACAAGCATATTTCACTTGCTCTGAGTTGGTGATATAAATCTTACAACCTCTTGCTTTCAGAGAGAAACAGAACAATCCTACAGTGACTCCCCCCCCCCTCCGACATCTGGCAAGAAATCATGGAAGAAATTTCGTAGGATTTCTAGGAGGTTTTGTGGTCAACATATTTTTTTAAAGGACTGCTAAGCTGCTCATGATCGTTGCAGTTCCTGTACAGGATGGCATCTTTCCTATGCAGGATTCTCCCAGAAAGTCCAGAAGAATCGCCACGCTGTGCAGGATTGTTACAGTTCCTACATAGGACAGTCTCTTTCCTGCGCAGAATTCACACACCCTTCCAAAATGCAAAAGAATCATCTATCTACACAGGATTATTGCAGTCCTGTTCAGAATTTGGCCGTATTCCTACAGAGAGCATTACACACCGAATGAGATAGGGAGGGAAAACGAAACTCAAGTCTTCGTAGGAAATCGCATTAGAGAGCGTCAGCGTGGTGAATCTTGGGGAATTCTTAGTGAATGTGAAGGAGAAGATTCTTCTGCACTTTCTGGGTGAATCCTGCACAGGAAACATGCCATCCTGTACAGGAACTGCAGTGATCATGAGCAAATAATGCAGCTTCCAGGGGCCCCTAAGTGTCCCCGCGCCACTCTCCAAAAATGTCAAAACATTTTTAATTGTCACAGGATGTTTTCTTCTGCTCTCTGGGGACATGGGGACGATGTTTGTGTATTTTCAGAGCACACCCCCTCAATTTAAAAAGTCTTGCTCCTTATGTTCCTCCCATAGTGCATAAAGATACACATTCCTACCTCCACGCCCCACCGCCCCTGCAAGATGGGTACTCAGTTTTCAGACCACGGAAGGATGGAAGGCTGAATCCACCTTGAGCTGGTGACCTGGGCCCAGAATTGAATTGAATTGAATTATGCAAGGGGCTCCTTCAAATCCTTGTGAACAGTGAGATTTGGGCCGGTAGGGGGCATGGGAGAGCTTTTTCAAAGTCTTTGTTTGCCACTGAATGTTCAGGGAGCAGATACAGTGGTGCCTCGCTAGACGATAATAATCCGTTCCACTGAAATTGTTGTTTAGCGAAATCATTGTCTAGCGAAAAGCAAATCGTCGTCTAGCGAAAATCGGTTTATGAAGCAGGGACCAAACATTGTCCAGCGAAATTGCCCCCATAGGAATCACTCTTTTGCGAATTGCTATAGCGATAGCAAAAAGTCAATGTCTAGCGAAAAAACTGTCATGCGGGGTAGCGAGGCACCACTGTACAGCCCTCCAAGATGGTGTGAGAATGCAAAGCAGAGCTTACGGGAAGGTGGCTTCCGTTAAGGAGGTTCGTCCTGGTCCACGGTGGTTCATCCAGAGTTCAGCCTTGCTGGTGTTTGCCCCGGCTGCCATCGGCTTCGTTTGCTTTATTTATTTATTTTATTTATTTCATTTCTATCCCGCCTATCTGGTCAGATTCGACCACTCTAGGCGGCTTTAACTGTAGGCTTCTCTTTGCTTTGACAGCGAGCGCCCCCGCGGTGGACGGCTCTCCGCCCACCCAGAGGAGCTGCCCCTCGCCAACCGGAGGGCCGCCGAGGGCGTTTTGGGAGAAGCAGAGCCGCCTCCACTCCGAGGTGCTGGAGCTCCAGAAAGAGACCCTCCAGCTGCAGAAGGAGAAGATCTTACTGGAGAAAGAGAAACTCTTGCTGGAAATACACAAGCTTCGGCGGGAGCTGGGCACGTGAGCGAACTCGTGGAGGGTCGGGTTCCGTGTCTCGAGCAGAGCACTCCTCTGGGCGCCGGAAGCCACGAAGGGGTCGGAGGCCCTCGGAGCCAGTCCCAGCCTCAGCGGTGGGGTAGGTGAGTGGTCACTGGGCCTCTGAGCATGCGCCGAGCGCCTTTCGCCTCACCAAATACTGCAAACCGCCTATGGGTCCGGAGCAAGACGTTCAATCTGTCGTCTCCAGCATCTTAGGTTTCTTCTCTAAACAGAGAGCCGTTATGCCAGGCCTAAATCTCATTTCTTCCTTCTGGCAAATACTGTCTTCTCTTCTGCTCAGAGAGCAGGTCGAAAGAAACTTCCCTCCAGGTTGAATTCCCCACATTTCCAGGATCAAGTAGCACAGGTGTGGGGAACCTTTGGCCCACCCCGGGGGTTTTATGGGCTCCTGGTCCATAAAAGTGTGAGGCTGCCTCTCTGAACGGCCTTGTCGACCAGAGCCGACGGGAATGGGCCCCCCAGTTGCCCAATCCTGTTTTAACTGGGCTTGCAAAGGATGGTGGCGAAGACCTTCCCGCATCCCTATGCGTTTAGAGGTAGCCCTTCCTCACCCGCATCCCTATGCGTTTAGAGGTAGCCTTTCCTCATCCCCGACTCGCAACTTCTCCTGAGAAAGAGCCTTGGTTTTAATGCTTCTTGTTCTGAAAACACCAAAGAGGGCACTCGGCAGATGCCTTTCGCCTGCTTTCCTGTGACGCTGAGGGCCAGAAGCACAGGCCTGACGGACCGGCCAGCCGCTCAGCCCGTTCCTTTCTTCCCTGCTGCATGTTATAACTGCGACTCTGTCCTCCTGCGCCTGCTGAACACAGGGCGGCGCGTCCGTAGATGTCAACGTTATGCATTAATAAAGACCTCTAAACCTCCGGCATCGTCTGATTTGGGGAGCAGGTTGGACATCCTGTTATCCCTGGCCGTTGGTGAAGTGAGCTGGTTGGGTTGAGGGGGCAGTCAGAGTCCACCAGATGGAGAAGGCTTGGAAGGCTGTAGATAAGGTGGCTTCCTTACTAGAAAGAGCACGCTCACTGAACCCTAGAATGACTCTCCTGTTGGAAAGGCCTCTGGGGTCCCACCCCCTGCTTAGTGCAGGAATCCAGATCACAACAGATCTGGCCAATAGTCACCCAATTTTCTCTTGAATGCCTCCAATGGTGGAGCCTCCCGCCACCTCCCAAGGTTATGGATGCCATTGTTATACTGCTCTAACAGTTAAGAAGTTTTTCCTGATATTCAGCTGAAATCTCATTTCCTGTATCTAGAGCCCATCATTACGTCTTCTGCACTCGGGCATGATCAAGAACTGATTCTGCCCCTCCTTTGTAGAACGGTCTTTGAAGAGTGCTGTCAGATCTCTTCTCGGTCGTCTTTTTCTCAGGGCTACATAGGTCCAGTTCTTCCAGTCTCTCCTCACAGGGCTTGGTTTTCAGTCCCCTGATCATCCTTTTTACCCTTCTTTGAACTTGCTCCAGTTTGTTGGCATCCTTCTTAAAGTGCGGTGTGCAGAATTGGACGCCAGTGTGGACATTGGTTTCATATCAATGTGAGACCCCTGTATGATCACTAAAACTAAATTGAACTGTAAGATAAGCTGTGAATCAAACCACTTGTCACTGTTGTTGCTGCTCATGATAGCCTTTTAGGAAAGGTTCTGCAGCATTTTGCTTTACCAGTGGAATTTCTGCTCTTGTTGGTCTTCTATTCTCTGTGTGTGTGTGTGTGTTTCCTTCCCTTATTTTATTTTGTATTTGACAATAGAGATAGGATATAAACACTGGCTTGATAAGCTTTTGAGAAATATATTTGCGAAGGCTTTCACGGCCGGTATCTAATGGTTGTTGTGGGTTTTTCGGGCTCTTTGGCCGTGTTCTGAAGGTTGTTCTTCCTAACGTTTCGCCAGTCTCTGTGGCCGGCATCTTCAGAGGACAGCAACCTGT